GGGGGCCGGAGGAGGAGCTCCCGTCCGGCGCCCCGGACCCATCGTGGAGCCCAGCAGCTGGTCGCCGGAGAGGTAAGGGGGGGGACGACCCTGCGCCTCAGCCCTTCGTCGGGTGCAGGCGATGGCTTGCCCGCGCCCCTCTTGCCTGCCTTGCCCTCTCTCGGTGCCCTCCCTTTCCCCAAAGCCGGTAGGAGCTGCCTGTTCCCATCTCTTCTTACCCTCTCCAGCGAGCGAGCGAGCGCGAGGGCACTCTTAGTTGCTGGCCAGGATGGGAAAGGGGAGCTCGCTTTTCCTGAGGGCCAGGAAAGAGGGTGGCTGAAGGGCAGAGAAGGAAAATGGGGCCGGGAGGGCGAGGGAGAGGCGCCCATCACCTGAAGCCTAAAAATAACAAGCGATGCGGAACGGAAGGGACCCAAGCGCTCGCCTGCACCACTGGGGGGGGGGACGGAGGGAGGGAGTCGGAGGCAGATAAAGGGCCCTTTTGCTAAGCGGGCAGCTTTCGTGGAAGAAGGGGCTTGTTGCCGAATCGGCATTTAAGCAAAGAGTGGGAAGGGAAGAGGCAAAAACATGCATGTCCTCGGATCTCTGCAGCCTGAAGCGTGACCTTCAGCGTAACATTGGGAAAGGGAGCAGAAACCACTCTGCCCTCGTGAATAATTAAAAGCTGGTGCTTGAATTCTCTCTCCCTCTCTCTTTCCCCCACTCCCTCCCTGCCCCCCCCAGCAATTCCTAGCAAGAGTTTAATTTTGGAGCATTAATATGGAGAGCAGCAAACTGCTGCGTCCACTCAATCACTAAACTGGACTTCTGGAGGAGAGGATATTGGTAATTTGGGTTTTGGTTTGAAATTGAACCTTTTTGAAAGGCCTGGGTATCCAGTTTCTGGGCCAGCTTTACCTCTGATGTAATGAGAAAATCACACAGTGGAAGGTACTTTAACACATCTGCTAAGTAGTAGATCATGTGAAGGGTTTTGGAAGCAAATATATATAGGCCTGGGTATCCAGTTTCTGGGCCAGCTTTACCTCTGATGTAATGAGAAAATCACACAGTGGAAGGTACTTTAACACATCTGCTAAGTAGTAGATCATGTGAAGGGTTTTGGAAGCAAATATATATAGGCCTGGGTATCCAGTTTCTGGGCCAGCACATATGCCCAGAAACTGGATACCCAGGCCTTTCAAAAAGGTCCAAAGGCAAAAGGCAAAAGGTCCAAAGGCAAAATCTGGAACTGGAGTCCCAAAGGCAGTTCGTGTCGTTCTGCCAACTCCTGCGACCTTGCTGGAACCAGTTGTATTGGCTCTTGCCTTTCCATTGGACCATTTCAGCAATGTGGAGAGGGGGGATCTGCTGCTTGGGTAACAGCCTATCCTCCATACTACTTTACCCAGGCTTCATGCTCTGGAGAGGACACTTCTCGATACAGAGCATGTTACCATAGCCTCTCAAGACTGAAGGATGCCTATGGATGCTGAGATTCCTGGAAGTGATAGCTAGGCCTTAGTATACAGAGATCCAAAGTGCTCTCTAGTTTGAGAAGCAGAAATCAGAAATAATAGGATGCTGTTTGAACTGTATCATAAGTGCCTTAAAAAGAAGTCACATTGGTGATCTCAGAGTGTTCCTGACTCAAATATATAATGGGAAGCCAAAGCAGTTTATGGCCTGAGTTGAAGGGAGAGGGGGAACATACATAAACTAAAAACCTCTGGGTTCGGCGGCCCCTCTTGTATCATGGGCGGCCTGTGTTTGCAAGTGGAGATGGGAACTGTTATTAGCATTTTAGCTCATTGAACCAGAGTGATTCTTGAACCAGATCTTTTATCACTTGAGCTGAGAGCAGGAGGTCACCTTCTCTCCTATTTCACCCCAGAAGCTAACAGGAGGGGCACCTGAACACTACATTACTGCTGGCAGCAGAGCACCTTCCTCTGCTGTTGCTCCTCCGGGCAGATGGTGCATTCTCCAAGATGCTGCGTCCACCCCACTTGCTATCATTTGCTTCCTGGAGTGGCTGCTTCCTCTTCTCTAACCACAGTGCTGGCCCTGAACTGGAACCAAATTCTCACTTCAGATTTCAAAGCTCCTGAAACCATCATTCTCTTCCCATAGTGATGTGGTTTATCCAACTCTAAGGAGGCATCATTCACTGTTATTCCACTTTCTATTGCTGGCCTATCCAACCCTTCTACTGGACCACTTGCTTTATTTTTCTGGCACTGTGCGTCAGAATCTGTGACCTGGTGGGCTGTGGTTAGAGCTTGGGAAAGTCACAGTTTTGAGCTACAATTTCCATGATCCCCCACAGTTCAGCCACTGGGTCTGGTGGCTCTGGGGATTGTAGTTTAAATATGCAATGTTCAACTACCCGGGCAAGTTTTTTAGCCCTCTGGTCCTCGTTCCCAACCTCAGGCCACTTCTCTCACAACCTCCTATTGCCTGTAACATCAGGAGTAATGGAGGGGGGTAGTCTTCATCGAACTCATTTTGACAGGTGCCACACCCCTTTGAGGTGGGACTAAGGGATCAAGAATCAACCCAGGCCCCTCCCCTGATTGGGGAGGCTTTAGGATGACGTAGGGGGTTGGGGAGGTCACTGTGGACCTATAGGAGGGGTTGAGAAACACAGGGGGTCCCCCCCCCAGTGATCAGAGAGCAGCCTCAGAATTGACCCCAAAGTAACTTGTCATCCCCACGGTACTGTAGGCCAATGGGAGGAGGTTGGAGGGGCTTGGCTAAAAAAGGGTTGGCCGTAGAGCGTGCCTTGGCAGGCCCTTAGGTCTCCTGGGTCTGAAAGTCCACAGCAGTTGCCTGAACTGATTTATACTGAACTGACTGATGATTTATAAAGAGTAGCAGTTTATTGGCATCTGGAAGGGCAAATGTTCCCCACCCCTGACCTAGAACCACCTAATGATAAGACAAGCATGCATCCACCTCTCTCTACAAATGAACTTTAATTCCATGGCAAAATACCACTGTAAATTAATTGTGTTTCTGGTTGTTTCCCTTCCATATACTATACATGCCATGGATTCTGAGGCTAAATGGCTATGCCTGAAAAATCCTGCAGGGCCTTTTCTGTTGCACTGACCATACATTTTTTCATCAGCCTGTGCCTTCTTCCTAGCTACTGTTTAGCCTCACCTTTTAGAATGACACCTCTATCTATCTTGATGTTCTCAAGTGAATAATAACATTTTCACATGGCTTGGGCTGCCTGTACTGCAGCAAGCTCATGTCCCTGATGCAGAGATTCAGCTTGGACCATCAAGACAGAGCATTTGGTGTGGGGATTCTGGGGTTCCAGCAATAGAGACACCAAGTGGCCTTGGGCCCACCCGTTGTCTGTGCCCCATTTTAAAAAGGTCAGTCAAGATTGTACTCACAAGGTTCTGCATGTGCAAAAGAGAAGCTGGGATGGGAGGATGAGTTAAAAATGGCAAGGCACTTTGTGCGGTTGAAAGTGGCCTATGCATTATTAATCCTGCAGAACGCGTTGCTGGTGGCCCCAGGGGTGTGGGTTGAGATCCTGGCATCCATTGGTAGAACTGTCGCTCCCCATCTGCCTCTATCACCTTTCTCTTCCTTAAGGGTGACTTCCCCACTTTCAACTGCTTCAAACCTCCTTTCTGGTCCAATTTTCTCCCACTCTCCCCCCTTTCAAATCAGTGCCTTTCTCGCCTGCATACTCTAGTTCTCGCAGCAGCAATCCTGGATCTGAAAAGGGAAGGCACGTGCAAGGGCTGGATGCAGAAACTGCTATTCCTGTGTAGGCACAGAAGAAAGAAAGGTAGCCATGTTTGCTCCATTAGGAAAAATAGAAAATCCACAGTTGGGCAGTACATTTATTAGGAGAAATCCTGTTTCACAGAATGTGGGAACTGGGGAGAGAAAGGAGAAGAAAATTTGGCTTGATGTTAACAGCTTAGGTCAGTCTTCTCCAATGAGCACTTTTAGGGTTACTGTATGACAGCTCCCATCACAGGTGACCAGCATTAGCTTATACTGGCTGGGGAGTGTAGTTTACCATGATGATGCTATCTTTTTTGACAGGGTGGTTAAGCCTGAATATTCAACTTCCTGCTGTTTTTTTTTTCCATAGGGAGAATCGTCTTGTGGCAGCTCCCATCACAGGTGACCAGCATGATGCTATCTTTTTTGACAGTGTGGTTTAGCCTGAATATTCAACTTCTTGCTGTTTTTTTTCCATAGGGAGAATCGTCTTGTGTTTTTATATTAGATTGCCAATTTGTTTTCTGGCTTCAAGTAGAAGGGTATTATCTTGTGAGCACATTCCTAGCATTGAAAGGGGTGGGTGGGTCATATGACTAAAAGCTTTCAGAGCCTTTGAACAGAAGATCATATTGTTACAGCAACTGTGATAAGAAACAAGGAGTGCACATGGTCTGTATGAAATTAAAATTTATATTTACTCACTCTTGGACCAATAATGTTTGAAAGAATGTTTTCCTCCCTTTCGTTTCCAAAAGCAAAACAAAACAAAACTTTAATGAAAACACTGATGGCAACAGGCACTGAAAAGACTCAGAGATACTTTTGTCTTTAAGATCTTGACACTTCTTGCTGGAAGTAGAGATGCTACAAAAAGTCTGGCTACAAAATAATCAGTATAATGTATCCTGGAATGTTCACACGCACACACGTACGCACACACAAACACACACACACACACACAGATGCTGCTTAAATTGGAATACTATTTATGAATAATTGTTAATGCTATTCTTAATAATTGTTATTAATTTTGTGTGTGTATGAATTTATTTATTTTTTAAAGCTATTCTGTCCTAAAACTATCCTGTGGGATATGTGAAGGTTGTCCACATATTTTAAACAAAAAGAACTGGGGTAAAAAAACCTGTGATCAGGCAAGAACGCAGCATAAATCCATGGCTGAACAAGGAATTGTGGTAAGCTGCCAAGGCCCAAGACAGGCTCAAATATATTATCCTAGAAACAGTCAGTTCAAATACAATCTGTGAGATTGCCAGTGAAGCCTTCTCAGATTGTTTTTCCTGGATCAATTGTCCTTCTGAGAAAAAAAAAGT